TGTTATGTGCCGTCGAGTCGGCCCCGACTCATAGCGACCCCTCCTTGGGTTTCCGAGGCAGTATCACTATGGAAGTAGGATTGCCCAACCTTATGTTGTTGAAAAGAAACATTTACAATGAATGAGTCATTGTTGTTGCAAAATTCTATCATGCCATCTCCAACATCATTTCTATCACCAAGGCCATATTTTCCAGCTAACAATGATTCTTCTTTGTTTCAGTAAAATTTTGCTGAAGACAATTCAGAAGAAGTTTCAGTAGTATATTGACAGGGAACTTTCAAAATACAAGCTGGATTCAGAAGAGGACATAGAAGGGATATCATTGCTGATCTGATGGATTTGGGCTGAAAGCAAAAAATACCAGAAAAATGTTTACCTGTGTTTCATTGACTATCCAAAGACATTTGACTGTGTGGTGTATAACATAATATAGATAACATTCCAGAGACTGAGAATTTCAGAACAACTTAATTGTACTCATGAAGAACTTGTACATAGACCAAGAGGTTGTCATTCAAACAAAACAAAGAACTACTGTATGGGTTAAAATCAGGAAGGTTATCATCAGGGTTATATCATTCACCATACTTATTCATTAGCTGGACAATATATATAGATATATAGATATATTTTTATATGTATATATATAGTCATATATGTATTCATATATATATATTTATATAGCTGGACTACATGAAGAAGAACACACCATCAGGATTGGAGGAAGACTCATGAACAACATGTGATTAGCCAATGACACAACTTTGTTAGCTGATTGTGAAGAGGACTTGAAGTTACTTACTGATGAAGATCAAAGAGCAGTCTTCAGTATGAATTACACCTCAACATAAAGAAAACAAATCCTCACAACTGGACTGATAAACAACATCATGATAAATGGAGAAAATGATTGGGGTTGTCAGGGATTTTATTTTACCTGTATCCACAATCAACATCCATTGAAGCAGCAGTCAAGAAATCAGATGTTGTACTGCACTGAGAAAATCTGCTGCAAAAGACCTCGTTAATGTGTGGAAGAGTAAAGATGTCACTTTGAAGATTAAAATGCACATAACCCAAGTCATGGCATTTTCAATCACCTCAATACATGTGAAACCTGGACAGTGAATAAGGAAGACCAAAGAAGAGTTGATGCATTTAAATTATGATGTTGGCAAAGACTAGTTAAAATACCATGGACTGCCAAAAGAATGAACAAATCTGTCCTGGAAGAAGTGCAGCCAGAATGTTCCTTGGAAATGAGAATGGCCAGATTTCCTCTCACCTATTTTGGTCATGTTGTCAGAAGGGAAAATTCCTAGAAGGATATCATGCTTGGTAAAGTAAAGGGTCAGCAAAATAGGGAAAGAGCCTAAATGAGAGGGATTGAAACAGTGGCTGCAATGATGGGCTCAGATACAGCAAATATTGTGAGGTTGGTGCAGGACCAGGCAGTGTTTTGTTCTATTATATATATGGTCACTATGAGTTGGAGCCAACTTGATGGTACCTAACAACAACTTCTATGGGGTTGATTGTTAATACAAGTAAAATGAAATACTTGACAACTTCTGTCTTTTCTCTGTTTATCATGATGTTGCTTATTGGTCCAGTTTGTGAGGATGTTTATTTTCTTTATGTTGAGGATAACTCATATTGAAATCTGTAGTCTTTGATCTTCATCATTAAGTACTTCAAGCCCTCTTCAATTTCAGCGAGCAAGGTAGCGTCATCTGCATATCACAGGTTGCTAATAGGTCTTTTTCCAGCCTTGATGCTTTGTTCTTCTTCACATAGTCCAGGCTTCTTGGATTATTTGCTCAGCATATGGATTGGATAACCACAACAAGCTTGTTTTAAAAATATACAACTGATGAAAATTTACTTGGAAATGTTAAAATCAAGGGAAACTCTAGAAGATCTTCTAGTAAAATCACAAATTATCCTCATTGGCAGGATAACAGTTACACTGTGAGGACTCATTATCAAAGAGCACGCAGTTCTAGTGACTGGGGTCTGAAAAGCATTTGAGTGGCCATCTAGGATGTGACTATTGGTCTCCTCTCACCTAAAGCAAGGAGGAGTGAAGAAAATCAAAGTCATTTGGGAACAATTAGTCCAAAGATATGATGGGCCACAAGGACCGCAGCCTTCATGGCTCCAAGACCAGAAGAACTAGATGGTGCCTGACTACCAATGCCAATGACTCAGAAAGGGATCGAAATTGGAGATCCTGGATAGACTGTGAAGAAAAATGTAGAACAAAATTCAAAAACACAAAATGACCAGAATTACTGGTCAGATAGAGATTGGTGGAACCCCCAAGACTATGGTCCCAAGTTTTCCCTCAGGCCTAGAAATGGACTCACTTCCATGGATTGGCTCTCAGCTCAATAGTAGAAAAATCTACATGCAGAGCACCTACCCCAGAGTGATGCACCCACCTACCCTAGAGAGATGTATCCCTTAAATCAGTCAACCATGAGACATCAGAGGGGTAACATTCACATAGAGGGAATGCTGGACAGACAGGAATACATGGATAGAGGGTCATGGTTGGGGGGTGGGCATGGGAAGGAGAGTTTTTTATGGATATTGTAATCAGGGCTGTGAAATCAAATGTGCATGAATTGCTGAATGTAAAACAAATCTGCTTTGTAAATTTGCACCCAAAGCAGAATAAAATTAAAAAACAACACTCAATTTGAAAGAAAAAAAAGAGACATTTGAGACATTTCATCCTGTAGCAATGAAATATTGTTTTCATCAAAAGATTGGTTGTAGTACATGAAAAAGAACTTCACAAAAACATTCAATGTGAGGGTTTGTGGGTGAGTTCTTAAATACTATCGAAGGAAGAACTGATTTTTCAGTTATAGAAAGGATTAAAGGAAATGCCAGTCCTGGTGGAACAAGAAGAAAAAATAATGGACCTTGTGGTGAAACACACATTCTAGCAATGCTGATTTTCACCACATTATAGGGGAAAATCACTGGATAAATTATTCTATATCAAGATGTAGACAAAGAAGAGAGCCAGACACTCACAGCTTGATGTTATCATGAGTCTCTAAGAGGCTCAAGGGCAAAAGAACCAGCTAATTCTCCTGATTTTGAACTGGAAGTTGGAGTTTGTCCAGTACCATGGGACAGCTGCTACCTCTTACAGAGTGACTATTATTGAATTAATCAATACGATTTTGGAAAACTCAGATATAGGCATGAAAAATTGTTTTGCTCTATTGAAGAGCTGGCAAAAGATATATAGGAGTAAAAATAATGAGTTTTTTTATTTTTGTTTCTTTATGCTACATTACAATGTCCTACACTTTTATCATAGTACACATTTATCAGGCTATCTACATATCAATATTGAAAATAAAATCCAAACAAACTGCTCCTAAGAAGTGATCACACTACGGTGCACCCTAAAATGGTAGGAAAGCTAATAATATTCCAATTGCATAGAGTTTAATAACTACAGAGAAGTTTGTTGGTATACCATATGAATACTGATGAATGAAATATTTTAAAGATTGGTTCAAATATATGGTTAAACTGACCCTATCATTTAATTTTATTTATTGTTATCTAGATCAAGAGCTATTACATATAAATAAATATGTAGTCAACAGAGACACAACAAACCTGGTTCTGTGAACAGTGTCTAAATATAGTAAGCGCCTAATAAAATTTGGTTATTGGGAATATAAATCAAGCAAAGAAAATCTTTACTGATCAGTTTATTGTCTTGATCTCTGAGAGATGAGAAATCTATTAAATATCCCCAACATTTGCACTAGACAAATGTATTATACTTAACAGCTGTCAGGCCACCTTTGGCTAGTGATTATTTTAAATCATTAAACCAGGTTTTTCCATGATGATATCCTGTGATATTAGGAATATAGTGGTAAAGAAACTCTTGAAAAAGAGAAGTTTGCAGAGTAGGCCTCTTCATAAGAACAATACATTTAGAATGAAAAATTATAAAATTAAATTTTAAAGTTAATGGACCCAGGGAGTAAACTGAGGGAGTGGTTCTTCTGGTGGTGTTACCAATACCTAACACTAAATTTCTTTCATCTTATTTTTATATTTCCCCTTGCATCATCAAGGTTATCTAGAAACTATGCTAATGTGAGCTGACAGCCATATGTGGGTTGCCTAATTATAGTAACCTGAGGTATGGCCACTTGGAAGCCAATTTTATCTTTATGAAAGAAGGTCTATTAATGATTTATATAATCAGCATCAACATCATTATTAATCCCTCAAAGGCAACCTCACCCAGGTGTGCTGGGAACTGGTGGGATGGGATATGGGTGGAGTCCATGTGTCCGTTTAAATAGCTGTCATCACTGCACAGGTTCCCTTCTCTGACAGCAGTTCTGGAACATTTAAGCCTGTTCTCTTGCACACCCATAGTTTAGTGTTTATAGCCTGTTCTCTTGCTCACCTATAGTCTTGTGTTTACTTTGTATTAAACCTCTGTTCACTCTTCTGGAAGATTCCCACCAGCACCATGACTGATGATGAGCTGTCTGCCTTGGTAGTGGATAATGGCTCTGGGATGTGCAAGGCAGGCTTTGGTGGTGATGATGCCCCCCGGGCTGTGTTCCCGTCCATGGTGGGGCGGCCTCGACACCAGGGGGTCATGGTAGGCATGGGCCAAAAGGACTGCTATGTGGGGGATGAGGCCCAAAGCAAGAGAGGCATCCTGACCTTGAAGTATCCCATTGAGCATGGAGTGGTCACCAACTGGGACGATATGGAGAAGATCTGGCATCACACTTTCTACAATGAACTCCGCGTGGCACCAGATGAGCATCCTATCCTCCTCACAGAGGCACCCCTCAACCCCAAGATCAACCGGGAGAAGATGACTCAGATCATGTTTGAGGCCTTCAACACACCAGCCATGTATGTGGCTATCCAGGCTGTACTGTCCCTCTACGCCTCGGGTCGGACCACAGGCATTGTGATGGATTCTGGGGATGGGGTCACTCATACTGTGCCCATCTATGAGGGTTATGCCCTGCCTCATGCCATTCTACGTATGGATCTGGCAGGCAGAGACCTGACTGATTACCTCATGAAGATCTTGACAGAACGAGGCTACAACTTCACCACCACAGCTGAGCGTGAGATTGTACGTGATGTTAAAGAGAAGCTGTGCTATGTGGCCCTGGACTTTGAGCAAGAGATGATCAGTGCTGTTGCATCCTCCTCCCTAGAAAGAAGTTATGAGCTTCCTGATGGGCAGGTGATCACCATTGGGAATGAACGCTTTCGATGCCCTGAAGCCATTTTCCAGCCTTCCTTTCTGGGCATTGAGTCCAGTGGGATCCATGAGAAAACCTTCAACTCTATCATGAAGTGTGATGTAGATATTCGCAAGGACCTCTTTGCCAACACTGTGTTGTCTGGAGGCAGCACCATGTACCCTGGCATCGCTGACCGGATGCAGAAGGAAATTGTAGTCCTGGCACCCAGCACCATGAAAATCAAGATCATAAGTCCCCCAGAGAGGAAGTATTCCGTGTGGATTGGAGGCTCTATTCTGGCCAGCCTGTCCACATTCCAGCAGATGTGGATCAGTAAGCAGGAATATGATGAGGCAGGACCTCCCATTGTTCATAGAAAATGTTTCTGAATGGGCTTCCATGTTAATGTTTTTTCATTCTGCCTTTGTGTTTTCTGGATCATAGTGATGGTACTGTTTTAATTCACTTTCAGTAGAGTTAAGGTAAATAAGTCTACTCTTCTTAGTGTCTAAATCAGATTTCTCCATTAAGTTTTGTGGCTCCTTATCAGCTATTATCTTGACTTCTCTGAACTTAAGGAGAATTTGGGTACTATATTCTATATCCTTCACTTACAGGGTTCAAAGAAATATAAACTTACTTAAACAAAAACAAGTGACAAAGAGTAGAGTCATGGAAATGTCACTTCAGAATGGATAACTAGAATTTCCAAGCTCTAAAAACTAGTTCTTTCTTACTTACCAATAGCAATCTATACAAACCTGTAGAAAAATGTGCTCTTATATTTACCAAAGATGTCTTATTAAGTGTTTTTGTTTAGTTTCCTTCTTTGTTTGGAGATGATGAATTATATAGGTCAATAATGTACATAAATACATAAATATCAGGAAAATAAAATGTTATATCTCACAACACACTGATATATCTGGCTATCTGAACAGCTAATGTGAATTTCTTCACTATCCAATGGACATCATTTTAGTAAGTCCATATTTAATTGTTTATTAATTAAGTATAATGGGACAGTAAACATTCCTTTAAAGTAGTATATGAACCAACTAAATTTTCATGTGCAGGATATCATCTTGCTAGTATTACTTTTTGAACCTCATTATACTTACAAAAGGAGCTCTAGTGGTGCAGTGGTTAAAATATTCAGCTGCTAACCAAAAGCCCAGAGATTCGAACCCACCAGCCACTTCATGAAAGAAAGATGAAGCAGTCTGCTTCTGTAAAGCTTTTCAGCTTTGGAAACCCTATGGGGCTGTTCTACTCTATCCTGTAGTGTCACTGTGAGTCAATTCTGACTCAGAAGTGAGTTTGGTTTGATTTGGTTTTTACTTGTAAAACAGCAAAACTTCAGGCAATGGCTAATTTTTAAAATACATAGAGATACTGGAATATCAAGTTAATGTCACTATACTACAGTTTGACAGAGATAATTTTATTTCTATTTCTTGGCATACCAATGTATTTGTTGAATAATATCTGTAGGCCATAATTGTGTATATTTCTCTTATGCAAGAATTTCACTGTAGGAAAACAGGGCAATGGTTGTTTTGTAAGTTATAAATTCTAGTACCAACATAGCACTCTCAATTTTATTCTTAAAGGTTAGAATATTTCTGCTATATTATATCCACTAACTAACAATATTTCTTTGTGCACAGTGTTGAAGTATTTACATGTTAAACAGTATCGGTGTATCTTCCTATAATGTCTAAAATTTTTCAATGAATCTAATAGTGATTTACCAACTTATTTTAACTACTAAAGTATTTATTACCATCTATGATGTAATTTCTGATTATTTAAATATCAGGGTGTTTTGTAGTTTTCAGGATTTTTTTCCTGAAAGTTCAAAATACTTATTTGGGGTTCTTACTAAGGCATTATCAGATTCCCTGGGTAAAGCAATATCTCCTCTTTTCCTTTTAGTTGGGAAACATTTCCTTGTGTTTTGCATCTCCAAATTGGAGTCATGATTTTTTTGCCTTAAAACTTTTCAAAGAATTTTATTGCTCCTCATCTAACAACATAATTTTTAAATGCATTTAATCAAAATTTATCTCCAAAGTTATTTTATTTTGTAGGAATGTGTGTTTTCTTTCATTAAATTAAAATTGCTTCACACTTGCATACTTTTATTTCTTATGATTTCTGCCCAATTCTTCTGAAAGAACTGGAGAATGAGCCACAAAAGATCACTTTTTATTTGTGATCTATTCATCTGTATAGTACAACTTTGCATCTGGGACATTTGTGCATGTAAAACATGATAAGACAATTCTAAAATAAGAAAGATGCCTGGTTAGGCAATGTTTTAACAACCTTGTAAGCTCAATAAAAATGTGTGTTTGTAAATGAACATGTCCTCTGGTAATTAGTAGGCAGAGGTAATGTCAATAATAATAATAATATCTTGTATTTATATGCTGCAACGCTTTCCATTTGCACAGTGAGTAGTTCTCACAAACATTTTGACCTACATTCCAAATTATCAGAAAAGACCTGTCTCATTACCCACAGAAAATATATGACAGGTAGGATGAACTTCCTACCTACTTCCTTCCTAAAGAGTGAACTGGATCATTAGGTGAAAATATGAACCCCATAATGAAAAGAGAAATTTAAACTTAGAGTCTTTGAATATTCTCCTGTTCATCAACATTAACCTACTCATAAAGAGACAGCTGATTTCAGAACTCTATATTTAAGAATAAGCCAAGGAATACTATGCAACACTAAAGAATAATGTAGAATCTGAAAAACATTGCATAATATGGATGAACTTGGAGGACGTTATGCTGAGTGAAATAAGTCAATCAGAGAAGGACAAATACAGACAGTACTAGTTCATCATTGTAAAAAGTCAAGGAAAGCTTTATATATGGAAGGAAAATTTCTTTGTGTTACCAGGGGTGGGAGAGAACACTACACACACAAACACACACAAAAAAAATGCATTGACCCATGTCACTTTAGTTTTGTTAATTTCACTGTACATAAACTATATTTCAATGAAATGTATTAAAGAAAAAGAAGCAGCAGCAGCAGCCAAGGTGGGGGGAGGGGGGAAGAGTTGACAATGAGTTGGTCCCAGCTCATGGTGACTATGTACAGCAGAGTAGAATTGTGCTCCATAGAGTTTTCAATGGCTGATTTTTCAGATGTAGATTGCCAGGCCTTTCTTCCAAGGCCCTTTGGGTGAACTCAAACCTCTGCCTTTATGTCAGTAGCCAAGCTTGTCTCTCTTACTCTCTCATATTTAAGAACACATGCCATGTATTTAAACAATACATGGCATGTTATTCACCAGTGGTTCACAAGCCTGGTTGGTCAATCGAATAACTTAGAGAACCTTATGAAAATACAGATACCTTGGCCCTGGGCTCAGAAATTTTGGTTCAGTAGATCTAGGTTGAGACCTAGGACTCCAAATGGACAGCCAACTAAAAGAATCAGAGTTCTAAACAACCCAAAGTCTAATACACACTATAGACTCTTAGGGCAGAAAATGTGGACATTTGCCACAGCACCAAAGCAGCCTCCACAAATATAACCCATACCATTATAAAGGTGTGCATTCTCCTTCAATGATCCATGAATAGCAATCTAAAGTTAGAACTACACCACAATCATCCCTGTCCCTGCCCAATTATATTTTCCAATCATGGGTTAATATTTTTCTGAAAATATGCATGATCCATAGCCAGTACCTACACTCTTCTTCCTTAACATGTAGACACGCTTATTTTTCAGTAGTGAGACAAAGTAGCTCTAGGCTACAGGCTGAAAGTTGCATTCACTAGAAATGAGTATTACATTTTCCAGACAATCAAAGGATAATCCTTTGAGTGATAAGGGTGCCTTACCATATTTATTCACTCATTTTGCAGCTATTAATTTAATTGCCCATGCCACAATCTACTATAAAGTGTTTTAAGGACCTTGGAGAACTAAAAATCCAGTGGGGGAAACTGTGCACAGTGGAAAATAGCATGATCTAACGGTGGCTCACAGACTAAACACAGTCCACGCTATGTTGGTAATTCAAATAAAGACGTTTCAAGCCAGGTTCATCAAAGAAGGGTTCACAGAACAGATGGAGGCTTTGGGTTATGGCTTAAAGCACACCCAAAATGCATTTAGCACAATCTAAATTTATTCTTAGATGGATCAGGCACCATTTGGAACACAACGTACTGGACTTGGTAGGGTGGTTTATCTTTATTTTTGTGTTTCCATTACACTATGCTAGGAATTATTTTTTTAAATATAACAAACTTTAAGACTCAGTTCAAGTGTCACACTACGAAAACTTTTCTAATCTTCCCTCCTCCTTCCTTTGTGACAACTTTCTCCTTTGTGCATCTTTGGCATACAGATAGCATTGCATCTATAACCCTGTCCACAGTCTCCCAGCCTCACACCATTAACAAACACTTGGAAGAGAGAGAAAGAGACAGGATTTATCCACCTTTGAATCTGCTGGACTTTTCCTAGTGTCAGGCACAAGTATTAACTCAGTAAACATAGTTTGAGTTAATAAATCAACAATTTGTAGATACTGCTGTACTTCATGAACATCACAGTTTTACACTATTTCATGCCATTCTAGTCTCAGCTCTGTATCTGTTAGTGTCTTCTTCTTTCGTCCAGTTCTATCTATCCTCTGAAGCATATTTTTTCTTTTCTTCCTCTCTTTCTTTTTCTGTCTACTTTTCCAATACTTCTCAACATGCAGAGCTAAATTCTAATAGTCTGTTTTGCTTGTCAATATAAGTTTTTCCTTCTGATTCGTCAAAGGATCCATCAACTTCAACTTTTGGAGGGAGTGTTAGCTATACGTCTGCTGAAATTTAATCAAAAAGAAATCTTTCACTGAGTACAATTAGTATATTCAGTTTTTCTAATCTTTTTGCCTTCTTGCCAGTATTTTTCCTTTTTTTTTTTTTTAAGCTCCAAACTGAGACTCTAGATATCTGACTCCCTAAAAGCCCAGACATTATAATATTTTGAAAAGTGTGCTTTTCTGGTAACTATTCACAGCCTTCTTCAAGAGTGTATAAAAGATTCCTTTCAAAAAATGTTTGAAGTTAGGAACTAAGCATGTGGTTTGCCCAATACTGCTTCCAGATGTTGATAAGTACAGTTGGAATGTCTTTAGGGATATATATGTATATATCAGTAGAGAAACTGCTCATTAAAATTAATTGATACTTTAAGACTTCCTTTTTAAATGTGAACAGACCTGTCTGAACTAAAAGTGCCTTTAAAAAAAACAGCTAACACCATAAGTAATAAAGACTAGAGGCTCCTTGAGCTGCCTGACTTGTTTTTCATCCCATTCCAAATCTGATGTCTTAACTACGTTACGCTTATAGGTCCAGTTAAATCCAGTTAACAGTATGCCAATAAGATATGATGATAGATATTTTATCTAGACAACACCCCAGCACCACTTGAAAAATGGAAAATCTGATTTAATTGACTATTTGATGATATGTAAGTCAAAAGC